ATCTTTCTTGATAGAATAGGAAGTGCTAAAATGTATCACACAGGGCTCTCAAAACAAGAGAACTCATGTCTGTCACCTCCCCAAACAGAAAGGGTATGCTCGAGGAAAACCGCTGCGGGTGGGGTGGCAGCAGGTTCTTACACAGTCAAGGCATTTTTTCCAGAGCACGGAGAAGGCACACAGCTTGTGCAGACACCCTGACTGAGGAATTTTTATAGAAACAACCCTGTCTCACTCAAGGACATAAACGTGCCAGCTTACAGCTCCACAGATGTCAAGAGAATACTGCAGATTTGCTTTCAGTTTAGTATTCAAATGCTCAGCACTGAGGCAGGTAACAAGAATTTTGTAAGGCTAGCTATCTTGCCCAGCCTGGGGGTTGTTCCCAGAGCACTATATATGCCCTATATATGCACTATATTCAGGTGCACAAGGGGCTGCCACAGACTTGGTCTCCATCAATGTACCATGTTATTTTGGTTTGTTAATCTCTTTTCTTTTTTGTTGTTGTTTACCTCGTAAGTAAATTAATTTCCTCAAGATACGGTGCCTAACGATCTTACTATCCATGATATGCTTCAAATACTGGAATACATTAGACTATAAGAAGGCCCTATGGTGATTTGCTAATTAGCTTAACACTTTTGGGATATGGAAGAAAGAATTTTTTATTAAAACAAGATAACCCTGGACTATATTGATCTGACTGAGAAATGAGTATTTTAGTCAAGATGAGTCTCAAGATGAGTACGTGCTGGAAACGGTGATGTTGTTTCCATAGCAATGCCATGACAGCCTCTAGAGTGAAATAGTGTGCTACCAGGAAATGAAGGGCATTCAAATACTATGAGCTACATAGTTCTGTGAGCAATCCAAATACATCCTCATAAAGAATATTTAGTACAGCTAGATAGGCCACAGATTGCTGCTGATGTGAAGTAAGCCTTATCAGTATGCTTCCAGCAGTCCTGTTTTCTCATTCACTACACCCAGGATGACTTGTCTAAAGGCTTAAGCTATGGGCAACACTGCTAAGCCATTTCAGACTGAACATTAGCAAATACAGCAACCTTTCCCTCACTTATTTTCCAGTTAAAAATATAATCCATAATTAAGGACACTGACTCTCATTCTCCATAACAAAACCAAACACATTAAACCTTTCAGTGAAGAAAAGCCTCATATGTGCAATTATTCACCAGCTAACCTTCTCCCTTCCTTTTCTCTCACCTCCTCCTCCTCTCCCTTGCCTCCTCCTGCCCAAACAACATTGAGCAAATCCACTTGCAAGTGGGAAGCAATGTACAGAAGTCTTCCTCATGAAAATTTATACAGCCACGGCATAAAACTCACTTGTCTGCTTTTTACCCTAGTTAGTATTTATGTTAATACAAAAGCAAACCAGAAAACCACTAATTGTATTTTATTTGCCTAAGGCTCGACCTAAGGCAAACATGCTGGTCAAATTCTGCAAAGCTGATTTAAAATATTTTCCAAAGGAGAGAGAAAGACAATTAATGTAAGATTTGCATCGCTTTGTCTTTTCATTTTCAAAGAAATGAACAATTCTTGGTTATCTGTAAAACTGCTAAAATAATGGCTATAGCCCAACTGTCCTCAAATAAAATTCTACAAGACAAAGTACTTTACTTGAAAAACACACCAGTATACCGCTGCTAATCCATTCTTTCTCCAGTATTTCCCATGCAATTTGTAAAGATGTTCAAACATGAGCTGAATGTCCAGAAACTCTACCACTATATTTGTTGTTTGTCTCATTGTCACAACCAGCCTCTTGGGTAAACAGATTGTAGTTCATTATATGTAGCAGTGCTGCCTCTGAGGGAAAGTAGAAAGACAAACACATCACTGCAGATCCCTTATTAACAAATGCCACTTCAAACTAAAATGCTTTCTATTTATTGTTTTAAACATGTATTTCAAGGAATCAAGCCTTGCATGTAAAAAAGCAAGATGCTTCATTTCCATTTTGTAAAATTTAGTAAAAAGATGTGAAGCAAGCATTTTTAGAACTGCTCAAGCCTCCTTTTGCCTGTCCCCATAAGTGTGTTGCAGAAGGCATTGAGCCCAGCAACATTCATTTATAATTTAAACTGTTTGCTTGTCGGAATTTTCTCATCTTAATATGTTTAGTCCTAATTGCAGCCAGTACATCCAATGTTTTTACTAGAAGCTCACCTACTTCCAGAAGAGATTTACGCAACTGGGTTTTCTGTAGGACAGAAATGCAGTTTCTTTATGGAACAGATGTTGAAATCTAGAGGAAAATATGTCCCTGCAATTTCACAAGGACTTACAGGGCTCGATATGGACAAAAAGATACCCATAGAAAGACTGATGCAAGTTTAACTTACTCATCCCCTTCTCCAGTTATCATGGTCTCCCAGTTAATTCCCCAATATGAGCAATATTCTGTAACTATCTCATCTTCTTCTGGAACACCTACCTCAACTTTTGTGTTTATCAAAGAATTAAGTAATCTGCCTGATGATCTGGTTTGGCCAACTGAGAACAGATACAGCTTATTTTGTCTGAAACAGAAGTGGATACAGCCCATTGAACTCAGTCTACTCTCTTGAATACGTATTAAGTATCCAGCCACAAAAGTCAATCTGCTGCCACCATGGTCAGCTTAGCATGAACTGAAAACTCAGAAACACACTCTTAATTTCCCCCTTATTGTAACTCTTAGAACATCCTCAGAAATTGAGCATGCTACTATAAATAGTATCATGTTTTAAGAGTTAAATCAATGAATCAATTAGAAACTCTAAAATACTTTTTATCCATAAATATTCAATGATATGAGTGTGCTAATGCTTGAAACAGAGTCCACACAGTTGTCACCAAAAATAGCAGTTGAACATACAGGACTAGAAGCAATAACATCTAAACAGTTATTCAATCTTAAATAATTTTGTTATTCATGCTGTCCTATGAAGACACATGGTGGTAGTAGTTTTGATCAAAAGACTAAGTCTGTTTTTCAGCTCTTTCCTAGTATATTGCTAGAATTTGAAGCATCATTGGAGGCCAAGTGCTTCTGAACCCTGCATACAAGAGTTTTCATACAAAGAGCAAATGAAATGTTGTTAATTAGGGCTATGAAATTCATTAGTTTTCATAAGAAATTTCTTTACATTTTCTGCCTCAAGTTCCTCATCCATAAAATAGTAGACAAACTCATCTACCTACCAGCCTCTTAATCTTCTGTAAGGATAAATCGATCAACATATATAAAGAATGTGAAGATAAAAAGCTCTGCATAAATACTAAGAATTATTTTTCACTACCATATTTATGATACTTTTGTTCCGATTGTATCAATATTCCCACAGTGAGCCTTTTCTTTTCAAGGATTTACACACATTTGGGATTTAAAAAATCATTTGGGGCCGATATTTGTCAGTAAGCTCTTAGCGTGGCAAATGACTTAATAAAAACTCATGTTGTCCTCATGAACTACAATAACTATTTATTTATTTTTTTTAAACTTGTCAGAAACATTTCTCTTGGCAATCCATAGTTTATAAAACAGCTTTTAACACAATAAAAGAGATTGCAAAAGTGAAGACTTATCTTGCATAAGTATTCTGGAATGTGATCGGGTTATCATACACAGACACACAGAGATTGCTGTGCTTGGTCTGACTCACTGCTCTGCTTTAGAAGAGAAAGAAGGCTACACAGTAGAGGAGAACACATAGTGGCCATGTATAAAAGTGTCCAGGACAGAGACAAGAAAAGTGAGGAGGACACTGTCAGGAGCCATACTGCTACTCCATATAGGCATGCTGGCAAACAATTTCCCCACTCTGTTCTCTCTTACTAAAGAATGGAAGTACAGTTGCTTGGATGTCAAAGGCAGATGTAGCTGGACTTTGAAGAACCACATATAAATTGGTCCTATATAAAGAGTCACAATGAAGAGGGCACCATTTAGCTTGCTTAATCTAGACAGGTGAAAGAAAGAAAAAGAATAGGAGTTTGGAAACAAATTGAGGAGATATTCCCTACAATCCCCAGGGAAAAGGCACCTGTCACTTGATCCTGAATAGGCAATTTTTTAAGGACATCGAGAGTTGTTTGATTTAATTAAAATGTTTCCTTTGACATTAACAAAGCATGGGTTAACATCCACAGATGATGTGGTCTATGAAAAAAGAAATATAAACAATCACCAGAGACAGGGAGAACACCCCATCACATTGGTGCTTTCTCTTAGGAATTTGCCCCCAGCAGGAGAACTTCACTTTGACATCTAAAAGTCCTTCATACAAATCCACAGAGAAATATTCTTCTAACTCTTTTTGAAATACTTAAAAATAAATCACTGAAGAGACACAACATTCTGAGCTGGCCCCATAACCTATTTCTTTTCTTACTGGTTCTTTTATGTTCTGCAAAACAGAGAGAATCACTTTTCTTGGCTATATTTTCTTTTGCTCCTCCTCCAAGCCACCCTGTTGCAATGCAAGGGGCAGCCTCACAGATGACTGGAATGATCCCACAACACAGCTTTCAGGATGATGCCAGCACTTGATACAGCAATGACTGCATTAATCGCAGACACAATAGCTCACACAAAGCAGCTGAGCCTTACCCCCAAACTGAGGACACTGATAAGGACTGACCTTTCAGCAAATCAAGGTGGAGTAGCTCAGCATGAAATGTCTTCAGGAAATAACAGTATAGAGTATTGTAGTCAGGTGGATAGTTACCGTTCAGCTGGCATCCATTTCCTATTTTCTTGTCATTAACCAATTCCAATACAGTTATTTTTCACACAAAATTCCCTGATTTTTGGAACCTTGTAGCTGTCTCTTATATCTGAACATTTTCTGTCACAAAAACTGCAGGTATTCTGATAAGTAAAAGTATATTTTAAAATCTCCAGAAAAATATTTTAAAACAGCTCTCTAAAGCGCCACTAATACTAATGCTGTCAATGCTGAGCAAGGAACCACAATAAAGGATACTGAAGCTCCTATCTGTGATTGCTAAATGCCAAAGGTTAATCCTGAGATCATCCGCTGACATGTATGTCTCACAGTCACTGTTGACAGATATTGAGTTGACATGATAGGTGTGACCATTAGCAAAGATTCTCCGGGGAGTGACTTCTACCATCAAATCCATAGGTTTCAATACAGGCACCTGCCAAAAAAAACAAAACACAAACCAAAAAGGGAGTAAGATTTCTTTTTTCTTTTTTTTTTTTTTTTTTGCTAGGATGATGAGAGTTTCAATGGAGAGCAAGCATCCAAAGACTGTGGCATTATAAAATTTCTCGACAGTGTATGCAAGCTGAATTTCTCCATGGATGAACTGCTGGGCAAGGCCATCCCTGCCAAGGAGGAAGGGAGAGACAGGAGAGCCATGGAGAGCCAGGCAGAGTGATGGAAAGCCTGGACTATGGGAAGGGGAGGCACTGGAAAGCTTGGACTGTGAAAAGGGAGACACTGGCAGCTGCCGCAAAAGAGGTCAGTCCTACAGCAGAAGCTACTGTCCCACTTATGCAGGAGGCTCTGGCTCTGACAAGCAGTGAAGTCCTAGAATTTTGCTTTTGCAGAAGAGTTTGCTGTTAGCTGCAAATCACTTACAGTATTTCTTTTGCTACTGTCTTTTTCAAAAAAGTCAAGTGGCAAAAAGTCTATAATCTCAGCAAAAAAATAAACAAAGTCTTTGAAAATGAAGCCAACGTGTATTGACACACTGTACATGCACACGTACTCCACAGACTCACTCATCATTGCACCCTCATTATTTCTCTGTGTGTCACTTCAATGTCATGCCTCAATAACTAGACATGGTCAATTTATTCCCTATTGGTAAAGCATTAAACACTGTCAGGTTGTGGTCCATGATTTGGACTCTCCAATGTTGTTGAACATGCATCAGAAACAATCTACCACACATCACTCTACAAGATAGTTTAAAGACAAAAAAAGGAAGTTAAAGCTTTGAGTTTAGCTTGCCACTAAAGGAACAAAACAATGGCTTGCTTTGAATTCTCATACTGTAATCAATCTGGAATGGTTTTGTTTGCCTAATCAAACAGAATAGATAAATAGTAATTCCACTAACATAGTCATCTTATATGACAAAGAGTATTGGAGGCTTTTTCACAATAGACAATATTGGTTTGTTTTGGAGGTGGGGGTTGGTTGTTTTGTTTTTAATAATAAAGAAATACTAGTGTTTATACATCATAGCCTCCCAGGTCTAACCTTGAGCCATTCCCTTTGTCAAAACACCTGGTGTGAATCCAGCCATTAAAGTCTGAGAGCAAAAATCTATTGTTATCATAAATAGTTATATGAGTTCTATGACTGCGTTCGTTCAGCAGTGCAGAACCTCAAGTTCACTAGAGCACAGGCTACGGCAAATCCCACTCTTCAGATAGGAGATAAATCTTTTATACTACTGAAATAAAGACGAGATAGCAGTTTGGTATACTGTCTTTAACCCAGTTGCTCTGAATGAGGCAAGAACATTGTTTAACATTAATTACAAGGAGAATACTTCCAGCACACCAGGCTAAAGAATTCTGTGTAAAAGCACATTAAGTCATGCTGAGAGAATTTTATCAGGAAGAATAAAACTGACATAAACTCTCTCAACGTATTAGTGTTGGTCACTATATCATAAAGCATTTGTGACTTGAAAATGTGTGACAGATTCAAGACCATTATTAGTCATCTAAAACTTCAATGATAATAATAATATATATTCTTAGCATTAGGTACCTATTTAAAACTTCTACTGATTTAGCATGCATTACTAGCTTCTTTGTACAGAAACAACTGGATTTTGGATGACAGCAGCTTACCTGCAGTGATGTTACTGTAGAAAGATCTTTAAGTTTTCCTTCTTCATCTTTTAAGTTGTACCCCTCTGGTCTCTTATCTCTTTCAGTAATTTTCCATAACTTGATTGTTTTATCTTTAAAGGAAAAGACAAACAGCTGTCAGCAAAGGGATTCTGAATGCGTCCCGTTGTGGGAATGGGCAGTAGTGTATTGGTGTAACTCCAGCAAATGAAAGGCTGTGTGAAAAATGAGACATTTTTCCCTCCTAAGGGAAAGCAGCTGAGAAATAACTGAGAAAAAACCTGAGAGAATTGTGTTGTAAGGGTATGAGAGAGAAGTGGTGACAAAAATATATTAATCTTACATGGAATGGAATTAAATCTAAAGTCTCCCTTTTTCACAATGGGTGAAGCATATGATCATAGAATAAGGATGCCTTTCATTTAGCAAAGAGCCTCTGAAGCCAAGAAATAGAAGTTTTAAACATTTCAGATGGAGTTTGTCCTTGGTTTTGTAGGAGCTGATGCTGCAGACTTCCCTAACATTGATTGTCCACCCCTACTCTAGTTGTGCATCCAACCTGCCAACCTTAACAGTCCCTGGGCTGAAAAGTCAATGCCAACTCTGCTCCAGGAAAAAATCTGTCCCTGAGTTTCTAATGGTTGTTCCACTCATCTGTTCATGGAGCAGCCAAAGCCCTTCCAAAGCTTCTGCACTTCAGCTGCCACTATAGCTTTCATTAATCTCAGTTCCTGAATCATTTCTGATTTTGTCTCATTTTTTTTCCTTTACCCCTCTTTCCCCAAGTACAGAGCAGAGCATAATTCTTTCCCCAGTTTGGCTGATCCAAATACTTCTTTCAAATGCTAGTACCAATAATTTTAAAGACAGGATATACGAATACATGAATTGCTTTGTATTTCTACAGCAATATTAATTTTGACCTTTTTTTGTTTCAAAATTAATCCCTTCGCTACTCTGAAAGTTTTTACTATTATGCATTGCCTAACGATATTATAGCTATGCTAGTTTTCATGTAACAAAAATATTATAATTGATCAATCTACAGAACAAGAGGCTAGCTCAATCTGCAACTCAAAAGCTACATTTAAATATTCAATATGTTCATTTGCATTGGTCATTGTGTTGGGTTTGTGTGTGGGAGGTGCATTTTTGGTAGTGGGGGAAGAGCTACATTGATGGCCCCTGTGAGGTTTGCAAAGGTCCCCTGCCTTTAAGAGTACCTGCCTCCAGCCCAGGCTGAGCCAATTAGCAATAGAAAAAAGCCTCTTCCAATCAATACTTATGAGAGAAGAACTGGTTTTAAAAAGAAGGAGGAGAGAACCTGGAGGAGAGGCCGTTGACCTGAACAAAAGACAACTGTCCGCCTAAACAAAGGAGAGAGAGAGCATCCTTGCCAGGAGGAAGGAGGAGGCGGGGGAGGACAGAAAACCAGACACCCAGTTCAATAAGCACGGAGTAGGAGAAGGTAAATGAGGTCCCCTGCAGCCTGCAGAAGTTCAACAGTGGAGCAGATACCTACGTGTAGGTAACAGAGGACTCCATGCCAAAGCAGAAAGCTGTGCCTGAAGGCAGGTGTGACTTTGAGTGCTTGTTTGATGAGCAAGGAGACACCCAGAGCTGGGGGTGGGCAGAGTAGGGAGAGGAGGTGTGCTGGACTGGAGACCTGTCTGCAACCTGCGGATGTCCCCATGCCAGAGCCAAAGAGGTCTGTGACTCTACAGGAAGCCTGCACTGGAACACTTTGTTCCTGTACTCTTGCAGCCTGTGGGAGGGATCTCATGACAGAAATTGTGGCAGAAGTGAACTGATTGAACCCCCATTCCTTGCCCCTTGTTCCCCTGAGGGGGAGAAGGTAGAGAAATTGGGAGCAAAGTGATTTCAGCCTGGGAAGAAGGGAGGGGTGAAGGGGTGGGGAGAAGCTGTTGCAAGGTATGGTTGTCGTGTCTCACTATCCTACTCTGGTGATTGTTAATTAATTAAATTGATTTTTCTTCTCCAAGTTGAGTCTGTTTTGCCTGTGACCATAACTGGTGAGTGAGCCCTCCCTGTCCTCATTTTGATCCATGAGTCCTTTGTTGTGATCTTCTTCCCATCTCATCGGATGTGGGGGAAGTGAGTGGAGGACTGTGGGGTCTTAGCTGTGGGTAAAACCACCATAGTCATGTTAATTAATTACCAAAAATACATATAGAACATGTCCTGCAATTGGGATTTTTATTACATGTAAATATTGTATTCCTGCTCATCTATTCTAAAATTTATAAATAGAGCAATTGTAAAATGAATTGTAATAAAAAAACCAAAAAATTTTATATTGTTGGACTTGACTGGTATGGATAAACCCATCACCTTCTTGAGTGAAAAGTATTTTAATAGTGGTTAAGTGTATCACATGTGTTGGTTTTCTTCTCCTTCATTTGCCTCTGGACTTTAAAAACTCCCTAGAAATTCTAAGCACGCTTATATTTCACAAAATATAGAAACATCTCTGTGCAGTTCAGTATTCATTCAGTCTCAAGGGTGCTGTGAAGTTTAAATTAATTAATGTCTCCTAAGCAGTCTGAAATCCTCAGATGAAAGGATCCATATGGGCCAAATTCTGATCTACCCAATGCAGCTCACATCGAAAGTACCCACAATATATTCTGGTACAAAAGATACCAATGAATCCTAATAATTTATTATTATACTACAAAATCAGTTCAGTTTACAGTGTAAACCCGAAATTTGCCAACTGCAAGCACTGCAAACTCACAGTGGGATTCAAAAGCCTTAGTGGTTTCCTTCTGCCTCCATTAATTAAGACACTGCAATCAAAGCTTAAAGATGACTTGTTACTAACGTGTGAACTGGAAAGGAACCAAAATCCCCTCTGAGAGAGGTGACCTGTGCAGGAACAGTCTCAGACAAAAGTCCTCCTTCGAAGGACAGAAACAGATTTGGGCAGGTGCAGACCTGTCAAGTCTCATACATTGAGGGTAAGATTTAGATGGACTTTCCTCGCATGTTCCCTAACAGAGGGATGCTCCTTCAGAAAATTCAATAGACACTGCCCACCCATGCCTGTGGAAAGAAAGGATGCTGTTTCCCAGGTCTCATTTTTCTGACCAAAACTGTGCTTTAGGTCCTAAAGTACCAGAGAGCGAAATATCAAAAAATGGCATTAAAATACCAGGCTAAGAAATTAGTAAATATAAACCAGTACTCAAGATGTTTCTACAACCTGCCCAATATGAGCACATGTGACAGATAATGCCTTAATTCTCTACAATTTAGGGAAAATACTGTTATCCCTTTTTATATGCACGGAATTGATACATTGTCAATGACTTCTCACAGGCAAGCTGTGAGACAGTAAGGAATTCAACATGGGCGTTCTGTACTCTAAAGTTAAAACTTTTTTTAAGAGTATGCCAAGAGGTGAATCTTCAGACTTCAACTGTGCTGTGCCATGAAGCCAGGAATCCTCCTTGGCACAAAAACTGTTTTGTAACTCAAGGCCAAAATCCAAAGGTTATGCCAGTGGCACCACTTCTGTTCTCCTCACCATAAAGAGGTCTGCTGGGATGCTCCAGAATTAAGAAGGGGGAAAAACACAGACCAAAGTATTTTGCCAGGTCCTAGGCTTGCTCAGTGTTGGCTGCAACAGGATTAAGCCATTCCAACACTAAGATTGAGTATTTCTTCCTTTCTCCTCTCCCATATTAATATCAACTAAGAAATTGATATAAAGGCCTATTAGGCCAACAGTAAAAGCAGCATATCTAAGGACTTGGTTGTATTCCCCAGTGTTCACAAAAACAAACTTTAAAATTAAAAGGGAGAGGTTTACTTTTAATAATCTGCTTTTTTATCATGCACTTGGAAGAAGCTGTTCTTAAAGTCATCTGAAGTAGAAAGGATATTTTGACCAAGGGAGAAGTGCAGAAGTAGACTCCTGAACCTCATAATTAGCTGATTTATCACTAAATTAGCACAAATCACCTAGCTGTAACAGCTATATTAATGAAATGTTTCATTTCAAATATTGCAACAGTGTCCCTAAAAATTCAAAAGACAACTTTAAGGAAAGTAGACTACAAAACATAAAATAGTTTGCTATCTATTGTGAATTAATGTAAATATTATTTATTGCTATAAATTTTAACTAGAAGTAATCACTTTACCTTAAAGCATCAATCCCCAAAGGTGATGCTACACTATGTTTCTATCAGCAATTCCCAATTATGCTCAAACTTCTACAAGAAAAATTCTTTTCTGATTACAGTGAGATCTAAGATCTGAAATTGGGCCATTCTGTCTCATGCATCACCAGTAGTAATAAAGGTTGTGGGTGTCCAACTGTTTCCTAAATAACACCTGTGCATGTTAGGCTCCATTCAGTTTCTCTCCTCTGTGTCACATCTGCACATACCCTCCTAGCAATAATACTGCATTTTTTTAATCAATATGCTTTAAGCATGTTAGAAAGATGAGTCTGTATCAATATCCTATTATTAT